TGACAGTTTTCACTGAGTTTTCTCCCTGACAGCTCTGTGCTTGCAGAGAGGAATTTCACTCTGACTCTTGCTGCTTCCCAGAGGGAGGTGAACTTTTCTGCTTCAACATAATAAATGTGGGAAATTTTCTGCTAAGGATCAGAGTGGCTTTGGGAAGTGCCTGCCTCCTCCTGGGATCCCTCAATTTGAGGACAAGGGATGTTATTTTGGGGATATGCTGCAGCTCTGCAGATGCACCACAGACTTCACTGCCTTCCCCTGCCCCCCCTCCAATCCCCCTTTCCCTCCTGTTCCCATCCCTGCAGCCAGTCTGGTTAACTACATCCCCAGCATGTTTATTTTCATTCCTTTGTCTCATATTTCCTCTTTTCCCCTCAAACCATCTCTCCAGGGAGGAGCAGCTCCTCTGCTCATGTGGACCCTGAGGGATCATGGATGGGTTGATGCTGCCCCTGGCATTTCCCAGTGCCCAGCATCCTGCTGTCAAAGTACCAGATTGCACAAAACCGATAGAAAATCATCTGTGGGATCTCAGTGTCACAAAGAGCCAGAGCCAGCCTTAATTTATATATTCCAATATCATGGTAGAGATCAAACTAAATATAGGCAAGGAGAAACACATCCCCAGTGTGAGCACTGTGCAAAACAAACGGAGACAATTAAGTCACAGCAAGGAAAGAAATTAATCTAATGATCTTTACGGGCTTGGCATCCAGGAACTGATTAGCTATGATGGAAAAGAATGACAAGAAACTCAGCTGAACATGATTTTTCCACTCTCCTTATGGCCATTTCTAGTGTATCCCTTTCTTTTGCTGCAAGAAGAGAAGGGACTCTGAGGGTCGCATCTGAAGTGCCTCTGTGGTAATGGAGAATGATGTGGCTTTGTGTAGCCCTCAGCATCAACAGGCTGTGTTCAGCCTGGAGAAGGATCCGGGATGATCTTAGAGCCCCTTCCAGTGCCTAACAGGGCTCCAAGAGAGCTGGAGAGGGACTTTTGACAATGGTCAGGAGTGCCAGGACAAGGGGGAATGGCTTCCCACTGCCAGGGGGCAAGGCCAGAGCCATGTGAGCCCCTCAGCCTGGGCAGCTGCCTCTGCATGTGGTTTGGTGTCCGTGCCCACGCCACAGACAACACACAAAAGAAAGAGCCAGAGGCTTCCCCTCCCCTTCCCAAAAACCAGATGATCTCAAATTGTTCCTCCCACTGCTTGTGAGCTGCCAAGTAAAGAAAGCCTCCTGGGGACTGTGAGGTTGGAAGGCAATATCCAGAAGTGTGAGTGATAACACATGGAGATGCTGGCAGTTTGTGCTCCCCTCCCAGAGCAGGACAGCCCTGTAACCACCTCCATGCCCTCCTGACATCAGCTGCAAGATATGTGAGGAGCAAAACCACCTGGTCAGTGTTGAAATGTGCAGTCCCTGCGACAGACAGGGAGGACAAAAGGCTGCCTTGCGCTCAGTGCTGCGGCTGTGGGGTGGTGAAACCACCACAGCCTGCCACTGGATGGGGACCAAAATGGGGAAAATGTGCCCTGAATTTGCTGTGGTGGTGCAAAGGAGTCCTCAGGATCAGCTTGAGACCAGACAGTGCAGAAAAGGGGGTGAAATAATTGCTGTAATTTGCTAATGTTGTCCAGGCTACTTTAAATGCCGCAGTTGGGTTTTGTTAAAAGTTAACTTGTTTTTGGTGCTGTAGATATCACCTGTCCTCAGCCCATGGCACACAGGATGACCCTGATCCCTCTGGCAGGGCAGAAGTGGGGCCAGGAACCCTGTGAGGACTCAGGCATGGGGAGAGCAGGGCAAGAAATCTCCACTGTATTGGAACGGGGCCACATTCACAGCACAAGGAGGGAACAGAGCACCTCAGAGCCTCATGTGGGCAGAGCCCCATGTGGGTGATGAACGTGACCTCCACGCTTAATTCAATTCATGGGGCCATTCCAAGGCGAGGGATGTGCCTTGGCTTCACTCCTTTGGCATCTGTGGGCAGCTTATGCCCATTACCTTCCCCGTGGGGTAATGACTGGGTGTTGGGACCATGCTGGGACTGTGCTGTGGGAGAGGCAAAATTGATGACCAGCAGCATCCTTAGGGTATGAAACACAATATATTCTGCTTTCTCTTTCCTCCCCAGTGTTGTACAGGTAGGTGGCAGGGAATCATGGAATCCTGGAATAGTTTGGATTGAAACAGACCTTAAAGCACATCTTGTTCCAACTCCCTGCTATGGGCAGGGACACCATCCCCTAGACCAGGTTGGTTCAAGCCCCATCCAAAGTGAAACATCTCCTCTTGAGATGATTATCAGCCAGAAGCTGCCCCATCAGCAGCTTGGACACTGTCAGTTCAGACACTGGCTCTCAGCAGAATTTAATATCCTTAGAAGAGATAAATGTCTCAGCAGCAAAGGCTGATTTATTTGCTGGAGGGGAATGCTGTCCCCACAGGGGCAGAGCATTGGGCACAGCGACTGCTCCTTTGCTTTGGGGTATGGGGGGCCAAGGTGGCCCTCAACACCCTGATCTGTCCCCAGGGCTTGGTGTGGAAGGGCCAGGTGGCCCTATTTTGCCAGGATGGAAGGCAGTTATCAGCAGGAGGGAGATGGGACAGGAATTCCTTTCTTAGAAACCTCTCCTTGTAGCACCCAGGTGTCTCCTTTTTGCAGCACCCACCTATCCACAGGGAAAAAGCCAGCTCAGAGTTTGGGAATTTGTGTCTCCCGGTGCGGGCCGAGACGATGGAGAGCCCTTGGCGCATCCCTTGGGCAGCCCTTCTAGCCAGGCCACCAGCCCCGTGCTGAAGGCTGCAGAATTACAATATTTTGTCAATTGCTCCATCTAGTGCCATTTCAGCAGAAAAAGCATCAGGAGTACAACACTCAGAGCCGCTGCAGCTGCCACGCTGGGGCCTGGGCAGCTTTCCCTGGCTTGTGTATGGAGTGATTCCATGAGGATGTGCCAGGTCCCAGCCCTGGTCTAGCTCTTACCTTGCAGATCCAGAGGCAAGGGTCTTTGCTTGCTTTACCTTATTTCTCTCATCCTTCTCAAAAAGGGACTAAACCCTTACATGGTAACATCTGTCCCAGAAAACATAACATTCGTTATGAGCATTTTCAATTATGAAGAAATCCCTTAGATTGGATGGGGCTTGGAGCAATCTGGTCTAGTGGAAGGTGTCCCTGCCCATGGCAGGGGTTTGGAATGAGATGAGCTCTAAGGTATCTTCCAACTCAAACCATTCTGGGATTCTGTGAGTCTAAATGAAGACGGAATACAGAGTTTATGCTGCCACTGCATATTTTTCTTTTTTGTGCAGGAATTGGGAAAAAACTCTGCTTCAACCCCACCAGACTTGGGAAAGCAGCAGAGCCCTCAGATCCTGCTTGGAAATGTCTAAAATCAAAGTCAAGGTGATCCTTGTTCCTTTTCCATTTGGGATGCTGCAGAACATGGATCTCTCTGATTTGTTGCCATCCTAAAAGGTCCAGCTATCACAGGAATGTGCATGTTAGGGAACAAAATGTCCATTGCTCTTAAGATGGACAACAAGGACTGTGACAGTGTTTAACTAGGACGTAAATACAGCTGAATTATGGACGTGTGAAGCTGTGGAGAAAGATGATAGTGGAATTATGTATCAGTGCTCATCACACCTGTAAAAACTGATGTTTTATACATGTGTGACATTAAATTAATTCATTGCAGTTCTTTCAGGCAAAGGGACATTAACTGCTCTATCTTAGCATAATCACATTACCTCAAAAGGCTCTATGTATGTCACACTTCCAGGGTGGTAATCACCATGTGATTAATTACAAGGAATTTAGAGGCATTACAGAGATTCCTTACGGAGCAGCATAATGTGAGGGAGTCTCTCCAAGATGACCTGCTGTCCCCACCAGCCCAACCACCACCATGACGGTCCATGTCACTGCCCCAAGCACCGACTTGGGCTGCACCCAACAGGTGCTTCTGAAGCTCAGCACTTGGCTGAAGGGGTCATACCTGGACAGATGATGGCCCCTGGTAAGCTCACATGGTGGGAGGACACAAAAACTTACAGCAGCTCAATCCCAGCCTCTGGAAGAAGTGTAAACATCAGCATAACTTGACCCATAAGTTGACCTAGAAGTGCAAGCAGCCCTAAGATGGCTCCGGGTGATGTCAATGATGTCCTTGATGGTGTCATTGTGAACTGCAGCTTTTCCAGGTCAGGAAGCTGATGCAGGACTGTGAACAGCACCTGGGCCTCCTGAAAGTAAAGGCTCTGACAGCTGAGTCTGCAAACCAAGGCAGAAGAACCCTCAGAATGAGAGGCAAGAGCCTCAAGTTGTGCCAGAGGAGGTCCAGAGTGGGTATCAGGGAAGTTTTCTTCACAGAAGGGGTTGTCAAGGCTGCCCAGGTCAGTGGGGGAGTCCCCATCCCTGGAGGGATTTAAAAGCCATGTAGATGTGACACCTGGGGACACGGGTTAGGGGTGGACTTGGCAATACTGGGGGAACAGTTGAACTTAGGGTTTTCCTACCTAAATGATTCTGTGATTCTATGTATCAATTAAAATGGTGTTTGAATGGCACCTCTGAGGGGCTGCAAGATGCCTGTGAGCATCTTTTGGGTTGATTTTGATTCCTCCTGGCACAATTATGATCACTCAGCACCTTCATCTTCATCCCCCAGTTTTGCTGCCTCCACCGTACCCTCAGTCTCCTACCTGAGCTGTTCTTGGTGTCCCCATGATTAAAAACTAACCTAGAGGGGTGGCTGTAGATTCCTGATGGAGGACAGGTGTGCAGGGACGGCTCCATGTGATCATCTCAGCTGGGAACAATCCTTCTACCTGGCACTGCTGTCTCCCATTGCTCTGACAGTGACCGCTGCTCCTGCTCCCTGAGAAAAGCAATCACAGCCCTACTTGGAACAGCAAACAAAGACATCTCGTGCAATAGCTCTTAACAATGACTTAAATTAAAAAAATAAATAATGTAAGTGCGCAACTACTTATGTAACCGAGCTTTATTTAGAATCTTTAAAGTCATAAAATGTCTCATTTTACTGATAATACGTAAACATACAATCAGGAGGTTTAATTGCTGTTTTCCCTTGCACAGAAATAAAGTTTTAAACAAACCAGAACACCTCACCCCAGACAAGCGTAATGCAAATTTAATTATCTGACTTGGTCCTGTACATGGAGCACACGCTTCTCTGCATGGTCACTGGTTTATCAATTAGTTGCAAGATAATTTTTGGCAGTAATATATTCAACACACAAAGTGCAAATTACAAGAAGCAGAAAATGTTCTCTCTCCTTCTGAGCAACGAGAAGTGCAAAATATCTCAGCCCATAAATTCTATTACTTATGTATATGAACTGTATGTGCATCACGGGCTAATAAATAGCCATCTAAAACTTCATTGATTAAATGTGGCAACATCCTAAATTTGGAATACAACAGCTATAAAAACACAGGACAGAGGAATCATTCCCTTTGGTTGATAAATTCCATATGCTTTCTGAGGATCTCTCTTCACACCTCACCTTTAACTCCCGCATACCCTGGATACTTCTGCAACCAAAGGCAGTTTGTTAAAAATTCCCCCAATTCGCTACATCTGAAGGTATTTCTGTGCGTCTACAATCAAGATTCCACTAACACTTTACTTGGTAAATCAAATAGTGGGAATCCATAGAAAACAAGAAGTCTCTTCCAGGCACTATTAAGGGAATACCCACCAATGGTTCCAGCAGGCTAAATGCACTTTGTGATTACCTAAAGTTATGGAAAACTTTCCAATGAAATAAGGAAAATCCTTTTCCATGAGAGCTAACTGCAGCATCCCTGTCTCAGTGTAGTTCACCTTGCTTCAGGATCTGTCCTCGTATGTAAAGTTGGGAAAAACCCACTAAAACACACAGAGCAACTGTACCTTTAACACACCCCTGCATCACTCAGTTATTATAGTGCAGATTTTGATTCTTTTATCCATTTAATTCCTGGAATTTTTCACACAAAATAAGCAGCCAATTCCTACCCCGCCTCCCCTTTCATTTCTCTCAGCTACATCATCATTATAAATTATACCAAATAGTCCAAATCAGACTGGGCTGCTTCCTTTAAAACCCTCATGCTCCTCTGGATGGAGAGATTAACCCACAATGCCTTGCACTGCCATGAATGTGCCTGCCAAATTCATTTGCTAAATCACTAAGGCCACGGTCATATAATCACTGCAGGAATAGCTGTGACACAGAATGAAGTTGCTAATTTCTGGATGAGCGTTCCTGCATCCCACCTCCATGGTGAGACTGGTCCAGAGCGGGACCAGCCTTGGGAAGGCTCCTTGTGGGCTTCAGCACACTCAGCCTGGCTTAGCTTAAACCCAAAATATAGCTGGGGGCTTTGACTCTGCTGTCCAGCTTGCTGGACGGGGCTGAGGAACATCATCCTAAAGTGCCGCAGCCAGCTTTGGGAGATCATCTCATCTCTGCCCGGTGGTGCTTGGGATTATCCAAAACTGAACTCCAGCACCCCAAGAGCGAAGCATCCTCTGTGATCTGTGAAAACCTCTTCCTGCTCTATCTGATCCTGGGGAGACCCCTGGAACTGTAAATCAGTTTGCTGGTTTGGATGAACTTCACAGAGCCTTAAAGACAATGTGCGGAGGCACCGCTCACCTCACCCCATTCCTGGAATTACACGATCACATTCCCAAAGCAAAGTTTTTGTCTTCATTAAAGTTTCAGGATGAACAATTATGCTGCGACTTGGCACGACAACAACTGCCTTTGTATGCGACATGCCTGGCATATATCAGCACATTTCTTCTTAAAAAATATAATTAGAATAGAATGAGCTACGCTGTTGTTGTTCATGCTGCCTAAATATCTGAAAAGGCTCAAACATTTTAAAAGCCTAAAAAAATAAATTTCCCTCTCCCCTCGTTTATTTTTCATGCTAAAGGCTGTAAATTGACACATCACAGTAATTACCTCTGACTAACTTCCACAGACCTACCCAAAGAGATAAACATGAGAAGTTCACATTTGACTATCAGACTTACTGTGCCGAGCACAAATAATTTCCCAGAGGAGAATTTGATATTTCATCATTTGGAACAGTGGTAATTTAATTACATTGCTAATGTTTTCTGGCATACTTGAAAGAACAATTAGCATAAGTAAATCATGAGTGAGATGACAAGTCACTCGGCATTTATTTCTGCTCATCAGATGAGATCAGTTGATGATCTAAATTCTCTTTTGTGTGTGAATTGATTCCAGGTTCAGCAGTTGCAACCTGGGTTCAGACTAGTGGGGATAAACTGATGCATTAAATAAAGTAAAACGGATACTGTTCTTTGAAGTTTCTTAATTAAACTTGTCCAGAGAAACTTCAAAAGCCATCAGAAGTCGGGGAGGGCGGGGAGAAAGGCTGATAAATGTGGAAGGCTAAATGAAGCTGGAGATTCACACTACCCTGCCTGGCAACGGGGGGAACACTGACTCATTTTTGCCAGGGTTTGCTTTACATCAGGGCTGAGCAGGGTTATTATAGCTCTACTGATGTTCTAAAATAACTGTATTTATCTCCGTGAGCGCAGTGACACTCATGACAACACCGTTAATGTCACAGTTCCTTTCTGGCGCTTCAGAATGGCCACGGCCTGTTCATGGGTGACGCCTTCCAGAGCCTCCCCGTTCACTGCCACGATCTGGTCTCCGCGTTTCAATCTGCCATCATCTGCAGCTGCTCCCTGCAACGGCAAATCCAGGCGTCAGCGGCAGCACACGGAGCCCTCCCGCCCCTTGGAATGCTGGCTGGAATGAGGAGGGATGGAGCACTGGGAATCCCACCATAGCTGGGTGAAATGACAGTGCTGAGGGTTCCCTATGAGGGCTTCGACTCACAGCTCACCCTGAGACCCAACCCTGGGGCAGAAGAGAATTGGCTCATCCCTGGAAAAAGGCAGCGCCAAGACCGGCTCTGGATTTTATGGTTATGGAGAGGCTTCTTAAAGCAGCATTTACATGTACTCCACACCCAGGGCTGAGGAACAGTTAAAAAGTGGGGAGGAGGAGGGACACAAAGCTCGTGCAGAAGAACAACTTGGGTACTACCCTCAACCCAGACAGAACTGGGCTCCAATGAAGCAATGGCTTCAAGTTGTGCCATTTAGAGGTTTGGATTGGATACCAGCATAATTTTTTTAACCAAAAGGGTGTCAAGCACTAGAACAGGCTGCCCAAGGCAGTGTTGGAGTCCCCATCCCTGGAGGGATTTAAAAGCCATGTGGATGTGGCACTTGGGGACATGGGTTAGTGGTGGCCTTGGCTGTGCTGGGGGAATGGTTGGTCTCGATGGTCTTAGAGAGCTTTTCCAACATAAACAATTCTATGATGGTCCTGAGAAGCTCCCACAAAGCCTCCTTCAGAGGCCTGAGCTCTTTAATCTAAATCCCAAGCCCTGCCTGCCCAGAGGTTGGCTCACAGTGTCTGCTTCTGCTCCAAGGCCCCACTGAAGTACATTTAGCTTCCATTTAGGATTTCTCAGCCATGCTCAGATCTAGAAACTTGCATCAGTTAAAAGACACAATATCTTAATAACTGAATATTGTAAAAAGACAAGATATTTGTGGTTTGAGCCCCAGTAGAGCAGAAGCAGAAGACTTCTACTCCCCTTTCAGACAAAGTTTTCTCAATTGTATCATCTGCCCTGCCACAAGCGCTGACACAAATGACAGCAAGTAGGCACTGGACAAGCAACTGTGGGCAAAGGATCCCTAATTCCCACTGTCTTCCCTTCCTCCCCCCCATTTCCACAACTCTCTTCACGTGGCCATACCTGATGTATCTTACTGGTCCACACTGAGCTCATCTCTAGCAAAGGCAAAAGGGGCACTTCTCCCTCCTCCACTCTGGGGTTGGGCTGTACTCTGCTTCTTCCTCAGCCCTGGGGGCCACAGCCTAGGCAGTACTTGGCAGGTACCCCCAATCCTCCCCAGACACTCAGGGTTGGGGTCAGAGATGGGTTTACTCCTGGTTTTTCAGCTGAAACTCATCTGCCAAGATACAGCATCTCTGCAACTGCCTCCCTCCTGCACAACGGCAAAAATGATGCCTCCATACCTCTTCGAAGGCTTCTTGAGATTTACAGATAGAAAACTGTCTTATAAATATTTTAATGTACAAAAACAAGTTTCCCAAGTACACAGAGCAATTTTGCTGAGATAAAGTACGTTGTTTCAGCCATAAGGAATATGAAATATAAACTGAGGAGCCAGTTGTGAGTTCTGGGTCCACTAACTCACATCAATGTACTTAGACAGTACATTTTGCTTTCTACTACATAATACATTACCCAAGCCAAATCTTAGGTTAATTTTTAAAGACGATACAGAGAAAACAAAAATAAAAGATACCTTGGCAAATATAGTCTTGACATAAATGGGCAGGTCTCCATGGGGACTTCCATACCCCCCTACAATACTAAATCCCAGTCCATCAGAGCCTTTCTCCAAAGTTATAATCTTAGGCTGAGGTGCTCTGAAAACACAATAAATATCACTTAGAATAGCAATGTCTGTCTCTGGGGACTTTAAGCAGAAGGAACACTTACAGAGACATTCATCTATCATGATTTTTTTCACACAGTCATAAACCATGACCCCTGCACTGAAACACTTCTGCACAGCTCAGAGTTGAAACACTGCTCCTCACTTCCAAAATGCTTATTTTTAATAAGAGCTCACCAAGACCACTTATCTCCGAGGCAGAAGTGAGACTCCCCTGATCTATAGTCGCTGTATATAATAAAGGAGAGATTGCTTTCTTTTCTGTCATCTTTTACTCTGCCTAAGTGGCAACTGCAAGAGGAAAGAGTCTAACAGGATGAAGCCAAGATCACTGTTTACAGTGTCATCTCTACCCAGGCTCTTTGGGCTGTTTCCTAACAGCCTGTATCTGACCTACATCCCCTGTCCTTGTGAACTTTTCAGGGACTTTCATGGCCTACATTAAGCAAAGGAAGGTTTTTTTGTGGAATTCAGACCATTCGTATGAATAGATCCATCTCAAATTTGAAATTAGTAAGTTCTGCATCTGTAGAAAGAATTATTGTGGACTAAAAGTGGTCAGGCATTGAAACAGGTTGCCCAGGGCAGTGGCGAAGTCCCCATTCCTGGAAGGATTTAAAAGCCATGTGGATGTGGCACTTGGGGACATGGGTTAGTGTTGGGATTGGCAGTGCTGGGTTAAAGGTTGGACTCAGTGATCTCAAAGGGCTTTTCCAACCTAAGTGATTCTAATTCTGTGAAAGCTGTTTGGCATCTTCCACTCATCTAAGGTACAGCCCAATCTGACTATTATCTAGGTATTTTTTAGGACTAAATACATACAACTATCTAATTCTGCTTCATATTTTCACATCCAAATTTCCTTACTGTTTTGTTATGAAAAAAAGAATGCAAATCCTTTTGTGAAGAAGCAATTCTCCTTTGAGAGCAGCAATAAAAACAGTATCTCACACTGTAAGACTAGAGAATGAAGCGTAAATAGCTTAACTTTTACACTCAAACCCCCTGAGGTAGGGCAGCAACTCGCATCTCAGCTTCTTAAAATAAACAGAATGAATCAAACAATGAAAATGCAGAACATAAGGAAGCTGATGAACTGAAATGAAGATCAAACGAATTTCAAAATGATAACTGGGATGCTACAGGCTGCCCTAAAAAGCACACGATGGAGAATGATGCATGGGAGGACTGGATCTCTAACTTCCATCACCGCACACAAGTGCTACAAGTAGAAATTGTTTTAATCAGATTTTTTTGAGTTGTAAAGCTTAAAAGATTCAAAAGACAAAGAAATTTCTGGGACACGTTTTGAAAGGTCTTTTAAACACATCTTTCCTCAGTGTGCCAATAACAAATTATTTCAAATTGCTATGATCATAACTCCTTCCAGGCAAGGAAGCCAACAGACAAGGGCAGAACTACTATGTCAGCATAATGTTGGAAAAGAAAGGAGATATTTTTCTTGAGAAATACCCAGAAGTAGTGTTTGGAAACACACTTTGTGCTTATTTACTCAGATTCTGTCAGCAGGTGAAGACAGACATAAGCCCATAATCAGCTTGGAGAAGGTCACAGTTTTCATTTTAAAGGTGATGGAAAATTAAAGAGAGAAGCAATGGGAGAGACCTCCTGCACCATTCCAGGCTGTTCCCTTGCATGAAATCCACTTCAGTTCTGCAGGGGAGTACAGACTTACTCGGGGTCTTCAGAAGGATGCTCTGAGGATGAGTTCAGGGTGCACCCCGCAGACATGCTCTCCAGTTGGGTGGCAATGGCACTGATGTTGGTGTCAGCCACAACCTGAGCAGGAGGATCAAGGAAATAAAATGTGTATTCACTTAACAACAAAACCATCTTGGCTAATTATGCAGAAAGTAGCTGATACATTCCGAAAATCAACTGTTGACTTTTTTCCAAGCAAATTTTAAATACAAGTGTTACTCTCTTAAATCTACTAATTCGATACTTTCAAATTATAGCAACTGCCTTTCTGAGGTTAATGTAAACTTTGCTGTGAAGCTTCCCCTTGCCTTCACACAACCATCACTCGGGTGCTGAGCAGAGGGAACAGCCCTTCTGGATAATCCAGAGAAAAAGGTTACTTTGTCAAGGAAACAGAGTCAACACAAAGGGTCCAGGATTGTGCTTGAAAGTAAAGGTCTCCCACAGAGACCACCACAGCCTTTCACAAAAGGGGCTCCAACAGAGCTGGAGAGGGACTTTGGACATGGAAAGGGAGTAACAGGACATGGTGGCGTGGCTTCCCACAGGACAGGATTAGATTGGATATTGGGAAGAAAATTCTTCCCTGTGAGGGTGGTGAGGCACTGGCACTTACCTTGCATTGATGCTAATTTTTTATTCTTTGCTTTTTTTCTGGAAAAATTTCAAAGAGACCACCACGAAGTGGTTTGGATTTGAAGTATTTACAGTTGAAAGGACACCAATTTCCCAATAACTGCATGCTGTGGTTATCTCCTAACTCCATCTCCCTCTGAAGAGATATTCTTCTCTGCTTCACATTTACTGTTTCAGCTCAGAGACAGTGAAAAACAGCCAGGAAGTATATTTCCAGTATTTCCTTCAGCTAGCTATGGCCTTATTTTACCAAAATGAAAAGGTACTTTTTCCACTAGTTGCTGTGAACATGGCTTAAGGAAAATGTACTTTTTCAAAGTAAAAAACCTATTCTATAAATCTCCCATTTTAAACGAATGCTTGTAATTCTTCCATAACAATATTTCCCTCTTTGAAATGATTTGGAGCCAAGAGGCTGATAGAGCCAAGAGGTTCTCATGCGAATTTTGCATCTGGGACTCAGGTTCCAGGATACCCTAAATAAAGCAGTCCAGCAGACAAGAGCTGCACCTAGCTCAGCCACCAAAGACACCATTAAGGTTTCCTTCCTGTGCCATTAGGGTAAGGAATGCCAGCCAGGATTTGTCATGTTTTGTTGTTCAATAAAACGAGGGCAAAATAAATCTATATTCAAAAATCTTCAGCTGGCAGTAAGAACGTATCAGAGTTCAACAACCTTGTAAAAAAGCTTCCCCTTATCTCATTACTACACCTGCAGAAAAGAAATTAAATTAAACCAAAGCATCAAAACAGCCGAAAGGGATGATTGTACTCCTGAGACCTTAATCTCCCATTTGCAAACAGCATTTGCAAACTCCTTTACCATCCTTCCCAGGACGTTCCCATAATAAGCCTTTCCACACCACTGAATGCAATTATCTGACCTTTCAAAGCAGTTTGCCATGAAGTGGTCTAACCTGATAATAAAAGAATTACTTAATGACACATCAGTCATGATTATCATAACGATAGGATTATTCCATTTAGATTGTTTTAATAAAAAAGAGCAATTTGGTGATTGAGAAGTACCTGTGGTTAGTGTGTGAGGCAAGCGCATCACCACACTATGGCAGGGCCTCAACACCACTCCCAGCATTAAAATACAACATCCCACCTTCATAAAAGGGATTTTTAATGAAGGAAAATAGACTCCACTTTATCAGAATAAACCTGTATCATCTGTTAGGACTACTGGGCTCATTTTAAGCCAGAGAGCAAAAATGCGGAAAAAACCCAGACATTTCTAGAAGAACCTCTTTGTTTATGTGAGACCAAGTGACAGTGTGCTCCATCAGGAATATTTTTAAATCCTTGATGAGGTGCAATATGCTGTATTACAGCTTTCAAGATGAGCAATTTTGGGTTCTGCAGCAAGCTTTCATTTTCTATTCAGGGAATACTGTTGACATGAAAAGTGAAATTACTCAACGTTAGTAACAATATGATAACTATAATTTAACAGAGAATCCTCAGCTGGGGCATATCTATGTTTTTCCTTTGACTTCAATAGAACTACACAAATACACCATCTGCTCTGGAACTGGCTCATCACTTACCGGGTCAGCAGTTCATGGACAGACAAAACAAAGAATAAGCAACTCTAAAACTGAGTTTATTATCATTTAATTTCCCTTTCCCCCCCTTTTTTCTTTCTTTTTTTTTTCTATTTGTGTTGTAATGCAAGCAAGAAGCTCGCAAAAATCCCTCAGGATGTGTTTCAATCCAAAATGCTGTGACGATAAAGAGAATTAGAGCAGATTTTAGCGGTGTCTTCAGCTTGTTTTCCAATTGTTACAATAATTCCGAAAATGAGGAGAATTTTGAATTCTATCTGGCAAGTATTTCTCCCATTTCTTTGTGTAAACATAAAAATAAACTGTGGATGAATATCCTGGCAGACAGCAATTAGAACCAATGTGGCAGAAGAAGCATAGCAGTGACAGCACTGTTTTCTCTCGAGTGTTTTTATTCATTACCTGTAGAATATTCAGTTCTAGGCAGTACTGCTGTAATGACAATGCTATAATTTTCCTTGAATTTCTTTCAAGAACATGGAAACCATCACTGTGGGCAGTTCGGTCCCAGTCTTGTTACATCATGCACACACACACACATACGGAATTTTTTGTTCCTAGTTAACTTCAAATTAAAAAAAGCCCCACAACTTGGAAGCTTGTTGATTTATCATGTGTAGCAATAAGTTATTTTGTTCTCTTTGTTACACTTTATATAATCACGCTCACAGCCTGCATGAATGGCAATAAAGAATTTTTGAATGGAAATGATTTCTTGCTTTCATTCTGTGTAATTCCCATCAGCAATCACCCTGCAATTCTGTGATGCCTTGTGCCAGTGATGCTCAGTGTTTTTTTTATTCCTGAATGCCATTTATCTACCCTGCTGCAGCTGCATGTTCAATTTATCACCATACCTGCAGGATAATGCTCCCATAAGCATTCTTTAGTAGATTAACAGCATCTGCATGAGACAGCCCATCCAAAGGTTGCCCATTAATACTGACAATCCGATCTCCAACCTAAAAGTACAACAGTAATGGAAAATTACTACCATTAGGGAAAATTAAAATTAAGAATGCTTAAATTTCCTCGTGAACTTGGCACTGCACAGTCACGCTTCTCTTTTGCAGGATCCCTTTTGTGAGGATTCTGCACTGCTAGTGATCATTTCCCATTCTTCAGAGTAAGGACAATATGGATTTTTTAAAACTAACAATACGAGCAGAGAAACAAAGATTAATTGTATTTTACTCCTTCCATTTGCAAGCAGAGAGAGGGAGATTTTCCCTGCTGTCCTCCCATCCAGAAAGGATTCATTTGTATCTGAATATGCAGACAAGTTCATATTTTTCCAGACTGTGTGAGCACTTGCTGAACGTTGTATAGAAAAGTAGGAACTTCTGATGTTAATCTAATTAACCTGGATGGTTTCCTCTTCTTAGACATAAAAATGATCTTGACCCTTGCACTTAGTGCTATTGTTTAATTCTACTGGAGACACAGCATAAATGTAGCAGCATGTCCTAATGAATCTCATGGGCCAAAGTATATGGATCTGCATAATAAGTTATTTTGAATACTTTTGATTCCTTGAAACTCACTCAGAAACTGAAAGTCTTCATCACAGTCATCCCTGGAAACCCCCATGTGCAGTGGTCTGATACAAGTGCCTTATTTTGGTGTTTCTTTCTAAGGGTCTTAAGATCAAAAGAATAATTTTTGCTCTGATTTCCACCCTGTTTGATGATGCCCAGTCTGGAGTACCCAAAATCCTTGTGGGTTTCCAGAGAGACTGTTGCTGCCCTTTTTTGGGTCTGGATGAACATATACATTCCAAGACCACTGCAAATGCATTTAAGTTCTTTCTCTTAACATCACTGTTCCAATATGGGCAACAATTGCCATTATCCCAAGACACAGTTTAACTAAAATGGCAAGAGAAGGGCAGATTTAGTTTTGTGGTTATTTTTGATTTTATATAAAAAGCATATATATATATATATATATATGACAGAGTAGTCTATGAGACATTATCAAAGTGATAGCATAAACAGATGTGCTTGAGGCTCTGTGGGACACATGACAGATGAAACAGGAAATACTGAGGACCCCTCTACTCACTCTGAGTCTTTGGGTCCGTGCGGCCACACCGCTGGCTTGAATCATAGCAATGAAAATGGGAATATCTCCCAGTGGACTTCCCTTCCCTCCTGCTATGCTGATACCAAGTGCATCATTTGGGCCCTGAAACAAAGCAAAACAGAACATTTTCAATTTGGGCAACTCGTAGGGGTCAGTGTTCAGGGTATGGCAATAACTGAGTCATTTGATTTGTGGAACAGGGAGAAAACAGGTACGATAGACACATATATCCTCACACATGCAGATCCCAAAACACAGGCACACATCCAACATCCGCCTGCAGACACAAATAAATGCAATTTGACTTGTGAGAAATGGTACAAAAATGAACAACTTCAGTGAAAGACGTCAGCTTTATGAATTGATAGAAAATAACTCACTGACCCTTGTTATCTCCACAGTCCTTGGGCCCATATCGGCTCCTACTAATAAAGAAACAAACAATTAGCTTCTGTAATTAAGAGATAATATAATTAAGAGATAACACTGTCAGGTGACAACAGTCCCTTGCTGCTCAGGCAGAGTTATCACCAGGCAGGAGTGGAGCCTTCCTGTGCCAAACCAGGCAGTGCTGCTCACGTGAGGAGGAGGAGGAGGAAGGATGAATACGGGTATAATCCCTTTGGTTGATGGATGTCACCGTGACACCCATTGTAGCCCAGCCACAATCTGTGGAACAGCAGCACTCTGCCAGCCTGGAGAAGGGCCCCATTGTGCCTTCACTCAATTAAAGATTGGCTTATTATTCCTAAATCACAGTGTTCCTGCACAAAGGGCACACGGCTGCTCTGAGACTGGTGTGGTTCCATTGATTTCCTCTTCCAGTTTTGTGCTGTATTGGTAAATAATAGACAGGCAGGAAGTCTGGCTGGTGTATATCCAGTCATAGGGCTTTCAAAAGTACTCAGAATATTAGAAAAGGGGAAGGAGAAGGGGAAGGAAAATGGAAAAGAAAAAGGGGGGAAAAAGGGGAAGGAAAAGATAGAAGGAAAAAGGGAAGGGAATAAGGAAAAGGGAGACAGGAAAGGGGAAGAAAAAAGGGAAAGGAGAGAGAAAGGGAAAGGGGAAATGGAAAAGAGGAAGGAGAAGGGAAAAGGGAGGAGGGAAAAGAAAAGAAAGTAAAAAAACCTTCAGGGGCATTGTTTAAACCAGGACTAAACAGATCAACAAGCTGATCAGGCCCTGAGCTCTGCTACACCACCCCCTACTTGTGTTAGCTTTAATTAACCTATTTTAAGTGCCTTTCAGAAGGCAGGCAGAATTAGTCTCCTCCAAAAATTCCATGATTTTTACTACCCCATGTCAGCATTCCTCACGGCCATGCAGGTGTCCCTGCTGTGGGTGCAGAAGGCAGGACTGCCAAGGTTTGTGGCAGTGGGAAGCCCAACCCTGGGGACCCCAAATCAGGGCATGAGGACGTGCCCTCTCAGTGCTGCATGGCTTTTTCAAACAGCACAAGGAAGGCTGCCCAAAAGCCACCAGCCTCCTCCAGTGTTTGCAAAGTGCCAGAAGAAATGTCTTCTGCTCACAGTCAGACACGAGCAAAGATTCCCAACTCCTGGAGCAGGCTCTCCGCAAGCTAACGTAGGTCGTAGATTTAACACTTGCTAAATCTGCAAACTGCAAACTGGGCATTGTGACTTTCTCATTACAAAACACCCCTTCATACACTCAAGATCAACAAAGGTATAAATGAAGTGGTGGCAGCTTTATTCCCTGAGAAAACTGTTTCTAATGCGAGAACTGTGCCTGTGCTAAGCCTCTGACAAGGGCGTCGGGGAATAGCAGGGCACAGGAATTCTGCACTTAAAGTAGAGGAGCCATTACTCCTCTAGTAGACATAAAAATAATTTCATCTGCTGGAAAGTGTTCAGGTCTTAAAACATCAGTGGGATGTCTTCTGGGAGGCTGAGCAGGAAAACCAGGTTCAAGTATTCAGTTTTGCTTTTAAAGCAGCCCAAATATACAGCAAATAACACACAGCTATTCTGACAGCTGCCCAGATTATACCTGAGTTTCTCTGAGACACGTCTGCTGAAGATCTTTTTGTGCTGACAAAATTCTGTAAGGTGGAGAGGACTGGAGCAAGAGCGGGGTGGAAGTGGCTGTGGACACTCTGTTGGCTCGCCTGAAGTTAAAAATAAATAAAAACCTCTGAGTCAAACACAAATGTTAACTTTAAACCACATCTTGCAACATACGGGCACAGCTGTGCTCCCTGCCAACCAGACTGGAAATACCACATTGGCCACGCAAATGCAAACCCCTTTGGTAGGGGAAACCTACCAAAATCTCCCCATAGTGGTTGAGTCACCATCTCTGGGGTGATTTAAAAGATGTGCAGATGTGGTGCTTGGGGACATGGGTTAGTGGTGGCCTTGGCAGTGCTGGGGGAATGGTTGGACACAGTGATCTTAAGGGTCTTTTTCAACCTCCATGACTCTATGGTGCTTCACTCCCTTACATGCACACCTACTGCCTGTGTTGCTAAGGTCAGCTCTGGAGTGCTTGTTCCCCTCTTTCACTTGTTCTCAGGGTATCTCTGAACCTGAGAAGAAGGGGAGATGATGGGCATCTTCCCTGTGATTCACCTGCATGCACGAGGCACCCAGAAGGACACCAAACAGCTTCCTCTCTCACACAAGGTAGGAATAAGACTGATACCCACTTTGTTACATGGCAGAAATCTACAGGTTTTGTTATTTAGTTGAATATACTGTAACTGCCCCTGCTCCTTTCATTTGCCCAAGAACCTACTCTCATTTCCAGAAGAACATGCCACGTTGCAAAGGGAGAACCTCCAAAGAGAGCTGCTTTCTCATGTTACCCCTTCTTGGCCATCTATTTCCAGCCCCCCTTTTCCCTCTCTCCTTATCTGGCTTTATCTTTAGACTCTGTCCCTGGAGGAAACATAATTATCAATTTAGGAAGTGCATCTGAACCACAAGTTTCACTGAGGGCCAGATCTTTCCAGCCATGCTGTCTTGTACAAAACAAAAGATGTGGTCTGTCCTTCTCCACCCACAGCAGTTTTTTCCCCCTAAACGCATTAGTCGGTGAATCAAAAGCTCTGGCAAGCACTTTCCTCTACTGACCAGTGTGCAGCTGTCAGTGACAAACACCAGGCAGAGCACAATTTCCACCTCGAGTTGCCAATTCATGGCCCAGTTAACATCATTTGCAACGCGCGTGAAAGAAATCACTGTCCTGCACCACAAGGCTTCTATTTCTCCTGTTAAAGGTATGCAATGGACCAAGAAAAAAGCCAAGTGAGGACAAAAGTTCTGGATGCTCTTGGCCAGCAGCTCCAAAACAGCGCTTGCACTTGTGCAAATCATTCAAGCTGATTTGCTGCATCATCTGCCAAGATTTTTATAACTCTTGGAAGGGTTTTGCTGAGAAACATTTATGCAGTTTTCAAAATCACCAAGTCACTTTGGAGCAGTGAGATGACGGTTCTCAAACGACTCTGCATCAAGAAGATTAAGTTTTCTTGTATCGAAAGAAATACAGGAATTACCAGGTTCCTGCAAAAGCTTCTTAAGCTACAAAAAAGGGGGATGACATCATTTGATCTGATTTTTTACCTAAACCCTTGTTAGATATTATGGCATTCTGCTTCCCTTTCACCTATGAGCTTTTTACTAGGTGGATCATTTTTAACTGTCAGTTTTTGATTACTTTGATCTTACTTAGCCTCCATGCTGATACAATGGCCAAAAAAAGAGTAATACTCAACTGCTGTCTTTACTTAATGCAATCAGTACCATTTGCCTCTGTTCCTTCATTTCTCCTTGCCTGCTGTATGCAGTGCAGACAGATGTTTCTCCAATGCTATTTAGTCATTAGTTTTAAAGCTGGGCTTAGCCCAGCTGTTCCCACATGGCTTTAGCCCCTCCTGGTACCTCAACCCCAAACAGCAGCCTGGATCAGTGCTGGCCTTTAGGAAGTGAAGAAATCACGGACATACAATGATGATTTTGGCACCTTTTTGGGCTGTTCATGGACAAGCCTTTTATTGACCTCCCTAAAAGCACTCCTGCTTTAACTTACATCCCCTCTGAGCCTCCTATGGCTCCTCCTTGTTTCCAAAACCAAGTCCTTCTTTTAGAAGTTGTATATCCCCTCAAAGTGCTGCTCCCCTTAGGGCAGAGAGGAGCCAAAATCCTCCACAGCAATCACTCTGCTGTGATCCACAGAGTGTCTCTCTCACAGACATTGGCAACTTAAATATAACGGCAAAACAGTTGGTCTCTGGAAGGAAAATCCATTAAAAAGTTTTCTAAGTCCTTCTGCCTTGTTTCTCTCCCTTGCAGCACTCCAGCTTTAATACCAGCATATCGGTGTCTGAGAGGATTGGGGGGCACAGGGAGAGGGGAAAAGCCCTGCTCTGATTGAAAAATGAATTGTTGTCCTCGCTTCAGGTAAAAAGCAAGTGAAGCAGGAAATTGCTCTGTGTTTTCTTTGAGAGGAAAGCAGCTCTCATGTGGTTCTGCCCTAAGATAGGCAAAGATACAGTTCAGTTTCATTAACTCATTTTGATTGACAAAACAGCTGCAGAAAATACATTCAAGAAGCTTTCACAGGTCTAAAAAAATTTCTGGGCATCATCATTTGAGAAAGATATTACAGATTTTTGGTGTGTCTTGGGAAGACACTCCTTAAACCATTAACCAGCTCTTCTACTTAATCAGCATTTCAGCAGCAGTTCAGTACAGAAAATTACAGCGGTAAAATATTTTGTTCCCCGTCCTCGGCAGTGTCTGAGGAAGGACTGAGCCTCACATGCACCATCCCTGTGCTCTGCCCTTCACAGCTCCATTTTATACATAGGAATTTGTCACTAACCTGACTGTTTTGGGATGTTTTCCGTGATGACAGCCAGGATCCAGCTCGCAATCTCCCAAGCTCAAGATGCACCAGGCCTTGGGCACACTTGGAAAAAAAAACCCACACAACATACAACTTAAGTAGACATATAATACTTCATGCTCTCCTGGAGAGGAATATGTTTATATTCAGCACCACAAGTCCGTGAAGAAAACCACAAGGAATGCTCAAAACATGACCATTTGTCTTTAGACAATACAGAAAGTGGATTTAGGTTTATCCTGAAGGTTTATCCTGGTTGCTGAGTGTAGTATGGATCTTCCTACTGGCAAACTGTAGATGGCCAATTACTAAGTAAAAATAAACAAAAAGCCCCAAGCTCTTTAACAGACATTTGAAAACCCCTTCAGAGGAAAAATGCTGCAGAAAAGGGTGAATTTAACCCATATGGATCCAACTTAACAATATACCCTCGTATCACCGATTTCCTATTCTTAAATAGGTAAATTTTTGGACAAGTACCAACCCTGAATGGAAAAAGCAAGGAAATAATTAGCCTTTCCATTCAAGAATGAAAGAAATCACGTGCAGGAACACTGGTGGTAATGGCAGGGGGGAAGCCCTTGTCTCCAGATACACTTCAGAATAGAGATGGATCTGCAGCATTGCTCCCACAAGGCTGTCAGGGCTGGGAGCTGTACAAGGATCTAATACCAGACACTCATGGCCATCCCATGCCCAGCCCTCTTCCCCAGACCAAGCAGCCATGTGCTTTTTAATGGAAAAAAGCAACTTCTCCCAGAACTTTAGTGTAAAATCACTCCTGGAAGATGGAAAGCTGTGCAGGAACGGATTTCAGCTGTCATTTTATAGTTGCAGCCAAGCCAAAGACATTTATTTAATTTCTGGTTTGTATTGCCTCTCTGGTTTCCAAATATTTTCCTAACACATGAAATACACAGTTGCATTTTCAAATAAATGCCTAAACATGAAATGTGTCTTTGTTTTCCTGCTTCATATCATCCATTTCCTAGAAATACACAGAAAAGTGACTTTAAATGAACGTCCCAGTTATTTCAGATGAAATTCCTGTCTCGGTAATCACTTGGAGCTGCCCTGTGTATGGTAAATAGCACTTCAGGATAATTACCTTGCACAGTGTCAGTAATTGCAATTCAATACTTAAAATGTATTCTGTACTCACCTTAAGTATAGTGGCAACAGTCTCTTGTGAGGCATTTCTCATATCCTCCCCATTTACAGACAAAATCTGATCTCCTTGAATTAATCTTCCATCTAGGTCTGCAGCTCCTCCTTTAACAATGTCAGAGATAAACACTCCACTTCCATTTCTAACAATGCAAGAAGCATATGGCTAATTACACAATCCAATATTCTTTGGGAGACCAATTTAGATTACTTGCATTTAAGAGACATTAAAAGAAACCTGTGAGCAGAGGAAGAACTAGTTTTACACCCCATTCAACCATGTAAAAAACCGATGAGTTTTAAAACCATGGCATGTTGTGCTATATTTAATGCTGTCTTTCCCCTTCAACTGTTAGTTCTGACTGTAGGATACATAAAAATTCATGAAAAACACCATTTACATGAATAAAAAGTCAAGGATTGGTCTAAGATGGAGTTGAACTATCTCATGAGACACAGTTTAGTGGTGGACCTGGCAATGTTAGGTTACAGGTCGGACTCAATGACCTTAGAGGGCTTTTCCCACCTAAATGATTCTTTGATTCCATGGTATGAGCTGGTGCCAGCTCCAAAGTTTGGCATTTGGTATCTTACACCCTGAAGGACACAACACTTCACACCCTGAGTTATACCAGGGTATCACTTAACTGACTTCAGAAACTGGGCTACCCTAGGGAGGAAATCCCCACTCTGAAGCATTCAGCAGTAGCACAGAAGTGAAGGTGGGAGGGCTGGAGACTGCAATTGCCATCTGCAGGGCAATTTGCACAAGCTAAATTAATTATCCAACCTGCAATCTGCTCACAACACCTGGGTTAAACATCCCCACTCTTGTAAAAAACTGCTGTGGAAACTTTACAGACCACAGGCAGTTGGGATAACGACATGATGATCTGTAATTGCAAAAGTCAATTATTTCTGGCAATACAGGAGGGCAATCGTAAGACTCTTACACACTGACACTGAACGAGTATCATGTCATAATCTCTTTTAGCAAAGAAAGATTAAAACTATCAGGGCTCTGGTTCAAGTGACCTAATAGCAATGGTTTAGAGACAGATCAGTAAAGCCATGTTTTATTAAGCTGCTGCCACCTCCCACCATATCCCTCTCTACAACTACCTAAAAGGAGGGTAAGCCAGGTGGGGGTCGGCCTCTTCTCCCCGGCAACAAGTGACAGGACAAGGGGAAAGAGCGTCAAGTCGTGCCAGGGGAGGTTTGGGATGGACATCAGGAGGAATTTCTTCATGGAAAGGATGGTTAGGACTTGGAAGGAGCTGCCCAGAGAGGTGGTGAAGTCACCGTCCCTGGAGGTGTCCAAGGAATGACTGAACATGGCACTCAGTGCTCGGGGCTGGGTGACAAGGTGGGGATCAGACACAGGTTGATGATCTCGGAGGCTTTTCCAGCCTAAATGATTCTGTGGTTCTGTGTCTCAGGATCTGCTTTGTACTCACAGAACTGCTCTCTGCAGTGTTACGCAGTCACTGCTGCTCAGGATTTGGGTCTAACTTCCAAGTAGGAGCTAAATCTAACTTACATATCCATCTGCAAAGGCACATCCTGGTATTTAGAAATAGGAATGTTTCTCTCCCCATTTTGAAACTAGAGAAGCCATGGTTAGGGCCTCCAACCCTCAGACATGGCTATGCTGATGTCACCAGAAGAGTGAGCTCCCAGCTCTGCACGTGGCCACATTCCCTCCAAAAAAGACACCCGCTGGGAGCACTCCTGGGCAGCTGCAGCCTTCACTGCTCAGGTCTACTGTTCTGACAGAGAGGCAGAACCGCAGCCCCACTGCATCCTTGAAGACATTTAGATACAAAATTCAGTTTCTTATGGAGTTTTCCCTTTATTTCATATTCCACTTGGAATGGCTACAGTAATTCAAAAAGCAAAATATTTCTCATTTGAAGTGCTGTTGGATCAGAGCTGCTCTTACCGTTTCCCAGCTATGCTGAGCCCCAGCCCTCGGCCTGTTTTCTTTTGTATATCTACATAGAAAATCTCTAAGTTTTCTTCATCTTTGTAATGTGCTTCATTTCTATAAACAACCAGCTGCACCTTCTGGGGCGTCTGTCGGAGCGCAGTGATTGCTTCCTCATGGCTGGCATTCCGCAGATCGATCCCGTTCACCTGAAATAATCAGTGTTTGCTTTCCAAATGACATGTATAAATGATCTTTTCATCACACCCTACCCTTGTGTGACAGCACAAATTTGTCAAATTGACACCCTCTGGTGCTCTAATTTAGTGCTCCCATTTCCAGAGGGCCGAGATCCTGGATCTCCTACAGAGTGTGAGTTCGGTGCTTTGTGCAACTGCCTGGAGTACATCACAACAATCAAAACATTTTGGCTTGGAAGTTTTGTGGGTGTTCTTCCCTTCTTTTTAACCCCAAATCTTTGGAATCTCAAACAATGCTTCTTTCTACACCAAGACAAAGTAGGATGTACTCCTTTGAGCTCCCTGTGTCTCTTTACCACTCAGATTCCTTCTCCCCTGGCTGTGCAACAGCATCGAGACAAAACCAGAAGGAATCAGAAACACCAGCAGTAAATGGCCCTGGAGAAGCCCAGGCAGGATGTATTAAATGGTGATTTTCCTTTCTATCCAATAGATGGCACACCAGACCGCTCCTGGAGCACCCAGTAACACTTCCCTTACCATGACCTGAGAAGGTTTCAGCATTTTAGTAATGTCAGACAGAACAAGAAGTTCTACTTCAATACATGTTCAAGGATTAAAAAAAAAACTATCGCAACTTGAAACTTGATCTCCTAATTTTGCCAAGACTGATCCATGGGTGCCTTTTAAGGCGTTTGCCAATATTCTGTCAACAAAATAATCTTTTACTTCTTAATACCAAAATGTATCAATACTTAAACATTTTCTCTTTAGGAAGTAGCATGAACTGTAACAGAAGAACCATACAATATTAATCCACTTCCATAAGTTTTAAGGTAATGAAAATATTTCTCGGTATTTTTAGATATGCAAAGTTACAAATGTACTTAATTTTACATTAAGATAATTAAGCCTAGTCTATAGTAATTACATTGTTTGTACTAATTCTGCACATACTTATTTATATACTGCATTGATACTCTTTTCTTGACACAGGCATCTATATGTGCTTTATCACACTAATCTGAAACTAATTCAGAGTCATCTTTTTGATTCATTAATCTAGCTTTTAAAAGCTGAAACAATAACAATATTATGGCCCACAAACATTAGCACTTTCCTGTTTGGCCAGAGAAGAATTAATTAACCTGCCCCATTTTTACCCCCTAATTATCCTGCTCTGTTAATACACCGTTATTTATAAAACGAAAACAACATTCAGCCTTAACGCTAACAAAAATATTTTCAGTGCAAGAGCTGTAAAGACAAGTCCCCAAGTACCCCTCGCTATTTTTCTAACCCTACACACCGAAGCCTTAATGGCCATGCTGGGAATTTGTCCTGAGCTGACAGCAGAGCTTTGAGCAGCTGCACTGAACCCCTGCCTGACGCAAGTTTCATTTGCAGACCAACACTTCTCTCTTAACCCTTTCCCTCCACTTTTTCTGCGCTTGGCTGAGGGAAAAACACCACATTTATTCACTTGTGTGTTCCCCAGCTGGATGAAGCGTGGCCTGGGGGAGCTGGTGGCTTCTGCAGGGATGCTAGGAGGGATGCTCACAGGAATGGTGCATCCCCCCTCTCCTCCCCACCCCACGCTGGCCCCACTCAATATTTGAGTTGCAGGCAGTGCAGAGATACTTGAGTGGCGGCCTCCGAATGAAAGATTAAAGAGATGAATAATACTAAGCTATTGGACATGACAGCTGAACTATGTAATTCAAGAACTGCCTTGCTCAATTAAATTTAATGTATTCTCAATTTGTACCTTCAGTTTATATGAATATATAAGGAAATATGAATTTTTCAGGATGTTCTTAGTGACGGAAAGGAAGCCTCAAGTATAGATCCTTCTCAATGACCTATCCTTACCCTACAAGAAACCCGTTGCATGGAATACAAGTATACATAACCAAGAACATACACAGAGAAAGTCATTTACCTCCAGAATCTGATCACCAGCCCAAAGTCTGCCATCTCGGGCTGCTGCCCCCTCTTCATAAACTTCATGGATCACTATGGCATCCTGTCAGAAGAAGAGGGTGGTGTGAATCCTCCTTCCCAAACACTCCATTCCTTGTTAGCCACAATCCACCCCACTATCCCCACCTCTATGAAAGTACAGCACTCCATGACAGGGAAAGCAAGACTATAACAAAGATTTAAAAAAAAAAAAAAAATTAACATTTTGGGATAAGAAAATTACTCCTGTAATCCAAACACAGAAGGTACAAAGGATTTTGTTCACCACTTCAGGATAGTCTTGTCTAGAGCTTCTTCCATCATTTTTACATGTTGGCATCAGCAGCACGTGAACTCAGTGTGAACTGTTGTATTAATATTGTCTACTTTTAATGATATTATTTAAAACCAGATTCTTTGGAGCTATGAATATTTTTAGGGACTTGGCATAGGTCTCGGCTTTAAGCAAGAGCTGAATGCCTTGTGGTAAATAGTGCTGGTTAAAATCTGTAAGAAATGAAATCCAGAAGAAAGGAACAATGGCAAATGTTAGTTTATTACTGAGGCTGGAAAATGTAGGCAGTGGCAGATGTAGCTTCAGGGAAGGTTTCAGTGATTTAATCTTATTGCCAGCAATAGATGTCCCCAAAGAAAAAGCATTACAAAGAACATACTGTTCTCTTGCTGGTGCTTTCCCTTTGCATTGTTCTGGCTTGTTTCTCTTTTTTTTTTTTTCCCACTTCTGAAAAAACATAGGTGAACATCCTGCTACAGTGCTTCAGATTCAGCAAGCAGGATGGGACTCTTCACTGTGCAAAACCTGCTCTTGTGCTCAGTAACACTCAGCCTCAGAGCTGAACCAGCTTTGCTACCAACTCTGGCTCTGGATAAACACGCAGTGATTTTTAATTAGACATGTAGGTATTGGATAACTTCTTCTCAGACAAATATACCCTCTAAAAATCCTATGGCTGTGAAGTCCCCCCACAAACTTGATGTACAAGAAGTCAAAGGGGAGCTTTTCCAGCACTTCCAACAAAAAGGCTGGAGTGTGCAAGCCCTGCTGTGCATCGCCTTCCTGGAGCAGGGGGAGGAAACCACTGCTGGGGCAGAACAAAGTCCCTCCATGTTGGGAAAACCCTGTTAGACAGTACATCTCTCATCGCCAATTTAACCCCCCTCCCTGTGTTGCCTTTCCCAGCACACATGGGGCACACTGAAAGAAAGAAAACTCAAATGCCCTTCAGCTAATGCTCAGATCAAGACAATATCGAGAGCGTGATTCCCTTTCAGTCCCACTACACCTTCTTTAATGATGCAAACTCTGCTGCTGCTGCTGGAGCACAGCACCACTGTCACAGGTTCCTGCTTTTATTCATGTACACCAGCCCCTGAAAAAAGCCTGGAGGACTGTAATCACAAATGGATTACAGCTGATACAAGCCTCCCAGATGGGGGAATAGAGATTTCAATCTACATAAATGAAGGCAGAATACCATGAGCTGTGTACCAAGATAATTAAGAAAAATCAGAAGAGTGGTTTGATTTAAAAAAAAGGGTATATATATAGACACACACACACACACTGCTGGCAACTGTAGGGTTTTCTTGCAATAACTGAAGTAACAAATACTAATGGAGTGGTGCAACAAGCACATATCCATCCCTCAGCAGTGCTGCCAAAATGCTCTACTACGTGTCTTAGATCTTCTCACTTGTGGGGTTTGGGTTGTTGTGAGTTTTTGTTTGGTTGGTTTGGGGGTTGTTTTCCTTGAGGGTTACCTTTGTTTTAAAAATGATGGTGTAACTCCAAGCCAACACAAGAGACTTTTGCCTGGGTGAGAGCCAGGAGGTGACAGTGATGTATATTTTTTTACCTGAGGCTGATCACGGGTAACTTTGAGGAAAAGCTGAGTCCGTGGTTTAGAACTTCCACTGCACATTTAACTTTTAGTTTTTGAAACAGTTTATCAAAGCATGACAATTGAGAGCAGCCCTGAGGAGAAGGATGTGGAGTGTTGGTGGATGAGACACTCAACATACCCCATCCGTGTGCACTGGCATCCAGAGCCCCCCAGTGCCCTGGGCTGATCCCACAGTGTGGGCAGCAGGGGAGTGGGGGGGTTCTGCCCCTCTGCCCCACTCAGTGAGACCACACCTGTGGAGCTCTCTGGAGAACAACAGCAGAAGGATGTGGAGCTGCTGGAGTGAGTCCAGAGGAGACCATGGAGATGCTCTGAGGGTTGGAGCCCCTCTGCTCTGGAGACAGGCTGGGAAAGCTGGGGATGTTCAGCCTGGAGAAGAGAAGGGTCCAGGGAGACCTGAGAGCCCCTTCCAGTGCCTAAAGGGGCTCCAAGAGAGCTGGAGAAGGACTTCGGACCAGGTTATGAAGTGATAGGACAAGTGGAAATGGCTTCCCACTGGGCAGACTTAAATTAAATATTGTGAAAAAATTCTTACCTGTGAGGTTGGTGAGGCCCTGGCACAGGTTGCCCAGAAAAGCTGTGGTTGCCCCATCTCTGGAAGTGTCCAAGGCCAGGTTGGAGGGGACAACCTGGTCTAGTGGAAACTGTCCCTGCCCATGGCAGGGGATTGGAACAAGATGAGCTTTAAGGTCCTCTCTAGCCCAAACCATTCTATGTTTCTACAGAGATATTTGGAAGTGGCCAGTGATGTAACACAAAATATTGACCAGCTTGTTAAGGCAGCATCATTCAAATGGGACACACCAGAGCAGTGGGTAACCAGGAGATTCATCAGAAAACTGGCAATATGACCATGTAACAGCAGAATGGGCATGTACACAAGAGGATCAAATTAAACACTTTCAGACTGTACTTAATCTCGCATTTCCTAATCTCTGAGGAAGGAGCTTTCAATCACATTTCTTTAGGTTCATTTTCCACCTGTGGTCTCTTTAAAACTGGTCAACAACCTGGAGTTACCACCTTTTCCCAGCACTGCATTATTAAATGTAAAACTGCACATACCGAAGGCTCAGATTCAGGAACCACCAAATGTTATCAGTTTGAATAATCTGCATCATCTATTTGAAAAGGCAACAATTCAGTGTTACCCTGCAGTTCCTGCATGTGTTAGAAGCCAGACCTCGAACTAAAAATACATATGGTATGAAAAGGTACATTCCTGTTCTGTCTGTGCCTACCCAGGAGAAGGAAACATCTTGCTGACCTGCCAAAACACTGTTTTTCTTAAGCAGGTTTAGTAGTGTAGTTGAACAAGGCTTATCGAATCGATTAAAAACAGAGCAAAGCAATGTATCCATGATGCCCTGTAAAAGATATTTAAATAGTCCATAAGCATAAACATCAGTCTTACTTTTCCTTAGCTGATAAACTATGGCAAACAGACCTCTTTCCTCTGATACCTCTGGGATCAGCTCAAATTGCATTTAACGCAGAAGTAATTTTTTTCCACTGGATCTAGTGGGTTCTGTATAAGACACTGTTAGTTTTGATCATCCATGACAAATCACTAAAACCAAACTACTGATGTTATTGAACACTTTTAATCACATCAATATTTTAAAGACGTTTCTGCAGTAATGAGACACAATGTCATACTCCAGCCATCTAACCAAGCCTTAATTGGTAATGACTCTATTTTCAGGCATGGATTGAAGCTGTAACACCCCTTTCAGTGCCTGACAAAAAAAAAATAGGATCTATCATGACTAAAACAATACAAAACATTTATTTAAAGGATAGGTTTTGGATCCTGGACATCTGCAGCTCCTGCTCACTTGCTTTAAATTCAGTGAGTGCTTGATATCTCTAGAAGTCAAGGCCTAAATAGTTCAAAATCAGTCAATCCAGAGAGAGGAAGAGAAAGTGGTGTCAATGTTCAGCTAGAGATTGTGAATTCATAGTGGCTCTGGACAGATTTTCACTCCTATCCCTCCCATCTCCTTTCACCACCAGTTTCATATAGATTATGGCTTGGCAGAGTCATGAAAACTGTTCGTGCAGAAGGGGGAAATAAAAACACTCTTGTATCAAGAACATAGTTGTTTAAAAAGAGATATCCAGCTGCTGAAAGCACATAGTTCATAAAGTTTACAAATCCATTCAACAAACTGGAGCTTTAATCTTTGTATATTTTGACTAAGAACAGTCTGGGACCATTATACAAATGGGGAATTAATGCAGAGCTGAGCAGTTCTTGCATGGGATGGAAGGATGGGGAACATGAGCCAGGGCATGTAAACAGCTTTTCTTTATGCTAAACAAAGCCCACACTCACAGGTGTAAACTGAGACTGTCCAACCATGAAAAGACAGAGTTGAAGGAAATTTGTCTGCTACTGCTGAGGTTGCCATCCTGGGCTGAAAAATGTTTATACTGAAGGGCCTGCAGTCCAAGGAAATAAAAGGTGAATGCACTGATACGGCACTGTATGGCTGAAAAAAAAATACCTGCAAGCCAGAATAGTTTCCAAACATGGCAAAACCATGACTGGTTTGGATACAGTGCTCACCAAATCTGTTAGGAAGGAGAAATGCCTACCAAACCTGCCACACAGTGTATTAGAGAGTATTTTTTAGGGCTCAGATTTGAGCTGTGGGACAACTACACCCCTCACCAACAGAATACCACTGTGACTGCACAGTTGAGCAAAGGGAAGGACCAGCAGTGATGGTGCTGAGAAAACAAGGTTTTGGCCATGGAAACAAAGGCAGAGAAGCAGGAGGCTTCACAGAGCCTCCTGGTCAACACCTTGAAGAACAAAGGTGGTGCAGAGTGACTAACTATGGAGCAGTGAGGGCGAGACAACCTTAAAAAAATTATCACCCAGTCTGGGAATCCATCCACAGCTTGTACAGTGTGCACAGCATGATCTACACTGCATTGCCTTTGATGCAGGGAGGGGAAGAGCCCTGAACTCCTGGGGAATCAGATCTCAACTCCTCCCCCAAGCTGTGGATATTTTTTCTGCTTGATTTATACCGACTTCAGAGACCTGTCAGGGAAAGAATATCACACTCACCCGTTAGCAAAGAGCACAAAAAGACATGCTAACACTGAGAATTAAATTCAGTAAGAT